TCTCCTCCTCACTGTATATTTGTCTTTCCAATAAAAATAAATAAATTTCTCAATAAGTTTTTGGGTAGACATTTAAATATAAAGAAAGAAATGTAGATCGATATGCACAATCACCTGGATGCCATATAATGTGGATGTAAGTTGTAATTCGGTGCAACTAGCAAGAGATATTAATTTATTAACTTCAGTCATCACCACTAATATTGCTCTGCTTAAATCAGGGTCCATTTTTTTCTAGATTGTGATACGATTTGTTACACTATAGAAATTGTTGAATGGTCATTTCTAAATTCTACATTTATCGCAAACCCTTTTTCTAAGTAAACAGTTCTTGTGTTTATGTGATTTGCTTTATAAGTGATAACATTCTTACACAGAAATAAGTATTCAATTACAATACAACACCTGAGGCAGGTATTTAAGCTAACAGTTAAAACATAAGCTTCCCACATGCCACACTGGGATATTGGATATGATCCTAGCTTTGGTTTTTGAGTAGAGTGAGAGATCTTCCATCTGCTGGCCATCATCAAATCTCAGTGATGGTTAATGGATTCCAACATACATTTACAGGGAAATGAATGAAAAGTGGTATGTAACAACACTGGTCCCAAAGTGATGGCTTCTGTTACTAGCTTCCTGACAATGCATACCCTGGCAAAGAATAGAGGTGCCTCAAGCAATTGGGGTTTTCAATGTTGGAGATTTGGGTTCCATTCCTCACTCCTCCAGCCAACCCTTTATGTTGCAGCCATTTAAGCCATGATCTGTGGATAATAATAGAACTCCCTACCCCCTCTCTCTAAATATGTTTCTGTTCTGCTCAGTGAGTGCACAATGCTTATTTCTTTCTGCTACTCAGTCTTCTGCCATCTGAGACCTATTCTGGTGCTAGAGTCTTAATCTTTGTCTTCCTTGCATGCAAAACTGAAAGATTCAATTTCTGGGTCCCAGCACCATAGTCTAATGACTACTCGACTTACATCAAAAGCAGTAATGGATGACCTAACACCTTGGGTATATAATCCCTCATGAGACACATGGAAGAAGCTTCAGGCTCCTGACTTTGAATCAGTTTAGTTCTGGCCGTTTCACCTGCTTGGAGAGTGAACCAGCCTGACAGATCTACCTCTTTGTCTCTGCTTCTCTCTGTAGATCTGCCTTTCCAATAAATAAATAAATAAATCAAATGAATGTTACAAAAATAATCAATTTCTGTTCTTTATAAATTAGTCAATCTTAGATGTTTTTCTAGCATACAAAGGATAGGATGTGAAATAATTCATGAATATGGCTAAATAACTAATGCAATGATGTGGTAATTAACACTCTTAAATCTCCAAGCTATCAATTCCAAAACTCAACTGTTGGAGAAAGCCACTGTTGACTATTTTTCTTTCTTTTTTTTAAAGATTTATTTATTTTTAGTGCAAAGCCAGATATACAGAGAGGAGGAGAGACAGAGAAGATCTTCCCTCTGATGGTTCACTCCCCAAGCGGCCACAATGGCTGGAACTGAGCCAATATGAAGCCAGGAGCCAGGAGTTTTTCTGAGTCTCCCATGCGGGTGCAAGGTCCTAAGACTTTGGGCCGTCCTCGACTGCTTTCTCCCGCCACAAGCAGGGAGCTGGATGGGAAACAGGGCTGCTGGGATTAGAATTGGCACCCATATGGGATCCTGGCATATTCAAGGCAAGGACTTTAACTGCTACGTTATGGAGCCTGGCCCTGTTGACTATTTTTCTTACATTCATTTCAAAGTTAACTTCATAATGTCATACAAAAGGCTACACCACTGTTTTTTGAGTTTTTCTGAACAACACTATCATAATAGTAGATTAAGTAATACTTTAACCCATTCCTCATCTTACTCTACACAACGTTTTAAAACTTTAATTACATATTTAAAACTTTTAACAATATGTTTCTTTTTATTTTAAGATTTGCTTTTGCTCCAAGATTTATACACTAATAATCGGGTTCTTCAATTAAAAATATGGAATCTTAAACCTGGAGAAATATTTCCTTTAAATCTTGTTCTGTTCTCACATTTTCAAAACAATGGCCGTTGCGGTTTTAATTTTTCTTTAAGAATATATAGCCCACACGTTCAATTTTATATTATCAAGTAAGTCAGTCATTTGAAAGAATATAAAATATGGCATTTGAGCAATACTAGAGGTGTCATATACATATGTAAAAATATCTGACGGGCCCGGCACCATGGCGCAGTGGTTAAGGTCCTCGCCTTGCACGCCCGGGATCCCATATGGGCGCTGGTTCTATCCCTGCAGCCCCGCTTCCCACCCAGCTCCCTGCCTGTGGCCCGGGAAAGCAGTCGAGGATGGCCCAAAGCTTTGGGACCCTGCACCCATGTGGGAGACCCAGAAGAGGCTCCTGGCTTCGGATCGGCATAGCATCGGCCTTTGCGCTCACTTGGGGAGTGAATCATCGGACGGAAGATCTTCCTCTCTGTCTCTCCTCTCTGTATATCTGCCTTTCTAATAAAAAAATAAATAAAATAAATCTTTAAAAAAAATTAAAAATAAATATCTGACATGTGATTATGTTTGTCTTCTTACTCTCACCTCTTCAGCCAAACCACCTGGAGTTTACAAAAATAAGCACAATTTGTCACTAGTTCAGCAAAATCTTTTGTATTTCTAGGATTTTCTTTATTCCCAAACTTAATACATCTGTTGAGTATAGGGGCAGAAAGCAGATATTTTAAATGTTTTGGAGAAGGATTCCTCAAGTTACTTATTTAATATTAAAGAAAATGTGAACTGAATTTACTCTTTGAATTCAATATGAGATCTCACCAACACTACTAAACAAACAAAAAATGAGATATTAGGTACAATAAAGAAGGAAAATTGTCCTCTACTTTCCAGTGAAATACTGTCATAATTCATTGAAATAGAGTAGAATGTCATGAAAGTATTTTTAGAGGATTTTTTATTAATTCTTAGAAGAATTTTGCAGCTGGCTTTTAGTATTAAAAGTACACATGAACATAGACACTACTACCTAGCTGAACCATTCTGTTGAACAATTTTGAATATGGCCCAGAGCAGTCAACTAGTGGCTGAATTCTTCGCCTTGCAAATGCCTTTATCCCACATCGGTACTGGTTCTAATCAAGGCAGCCCCACTTCCCACCCAGCACCCTGCCTATGGCCCAGAAAGCGGGTTGAAGACACCCCAAGGCCTTAGCATCCTGCACCCTCCTGGGAGACCCAGAAGAGTCTCTGGGCTCTTGGCTTCAATTGCTGCAGCTCCGGCAGTTGAGTCTGCTTGGGAAATGAATCAATGGATGGAGAATCTTCCTTTCTGCCTCTTCTCCTCTCTGTGTATCTGCCATTCCAATAAAAATTTTAAAAAAATGATGAATGAGACAATTATAATTCCATATGTATCTATGTGCTTTGATACATTGTATACCTCATTGCATACAAATGGAACCATAGATGCTAGCATTTACTTTGAAAAATATAATCAAGGGTGGCAATGAAGATTCAAGTGAGGAGAGCAAAATAGGATATAGAGTATAAAATCAGGAGAAAATGAGGGATAATTGAAAGTGTCGTGTGCAAGTAACAAATCAGTATAGAATTGCAATATCTAATTTTGCTTTTAAAGAGCTCTGACTTCTCATCAACTTGAAAATAACAGACATTGAATTATTTCTAATATTCCACTCATTAAAAAAGGTAATACTTCCAAGAGATTGATTTACAACCATGACTAGCAAATTTTGCCAAATGGCCATAGCTGACTACAATGAAAATTGTTAATGATGCTCCTGATTCTGGGAATCAGTAACCCTCCCCGAAGACTGGGAGGATGTTGGGACATTCTGCACCATGTTATTCTGCTTTCACATTGCTTGTCTCTAATGCTACATTCCTGTCTGGAAATATTTAAGTATATGCTCAACACTGTTGGGGACCAGTTGTCACAATGTCTGTCTTAAAGACCACTGACAACATAGAAACTATCACTCACCCAAATAATAAGGGAACGAATTGTACTTATACAATTTAAATGTGAATTTTATTTAAAATATCACACAGTTAGTATATATTATAAATATCCTTAATAACATTATTTTGAATGTTTTATTTTCAGTGTTCTAATGGCTTACTAAAGGAAATGTGAGACTTATAACTGTGACCTAGAAATGAAAAAATAGAATGATTTCACATAATGCTCAGGAATTCATTTCACTTCAAAGTTGAGCTAAGGTTGATCAAGAGAAGACCATGTCAAATTATAACTAGGGACATCACTTACTAAAAAAATAGTAGAATGGAATCTAGCAACATTTATGTTTTCAAATACATTCTAGCAACGTTTATGTTTTCAAATACATTCATAGCCATTTATTCTCTAATGGAATTCATAGATGGAGAGTCAACAGATAAACTGTAGGTTGATAAAATTTACCTCCTTTGAGCATGATTGATGATATGCTTATGTGAGGCATATTGTCATACTGATACCGTGATTCAGAATTATCTGAATTTGATTGTAGTCAAATCAATTATATTGTTTTGTAATGCATATGCAAAATAATTTGTTGATTTTATGTCCATGACTTTTGACACATGTACATTTTTGTGTAAATAGCTTGCAATTTGTGTATAGAACATTTGATGCCACCTTAAACCTTCTTCATGCCACTTTGTAATTAATTTATTCATCTGATAGATCAATGTTCTCTGGAAACCACAGGTGCAAATTCTGTTAAAATTTGGTTGTCATTTTTAAAAGTATCCATTAATGAAACGTTATGTTTCTGTTGTCTCTAAATTCTCTCTTTTAGCATGATGCTTTTCAGATTCGTGAATGCTTGTGAATGAAAAAGACAATCTGTATTTTTATTAATAACAGTAATATATTCTATTATTAGGATACATTTTAGTGATGATAAATGAATTGTCTCAACATTTTTTTAAAATGTATTTATTTTTTAATTTTAAAGATAGCATCACACACACAGAGGGAAAAGTTAGAAGTCGTCCATCTATTGATTCACTCTCCAATTAGCCACAAAACCGTGGCAGGCACAGGAAGAATCAAGAATCCTGAATATTGCCTTCAACAGTGGCAGAGGCCCGTGCATTTAGGTAATTTTCTGCTCTTTCCCAAACAAAATAACAAAGAATTGAAATGAAATGAAAGTTGCCATATTTCGTCATGTATGATTCTTAGCTTGCAAAATGCCTCATTTTATCCAGTTTTTAACAATTATGATAGAATGTAAGAACTTTTTAAAGAGTTATTTGTTTTATTGGAAAGGCAGATATACAGAGAAGAAGAGAGTCAGAGAGAAAGATCTACCATCCAATGATTTACTCTCCAAGTGACCACAGTGGCCGGTGCTGCACCGATCTGAAGCCAGGATCCAGGAACTTCCTCCAGGTTTCCCATGTGGGTGCAGGGTCCCAAGACTTTGGGCCGTCCTCGACTGCTTTCCCAGGCCACAAGCAGGGAGCTGGATGTGAAGCAGGGCTGCCGGGATTAGAACCGGCACCCATATGGGATCCCGGGGCATGTTCAAGGAGAAGACTTTAGCTGCTAGGCCAGTGCACCGGGCCCATATCTTTTTTCTCTTGAACATGTATAGTTTAGGCACTAGTGTCTCTAGGTGCTTTTTTATGCCCAAGTACACTTGTCTGTGACCTATGCTAAAATTTGAGTTTCAGTTTTTCAGATATCTTTCCATGGTCTGCTTTAAAGCATTTAAAAATAATGCTTACATTTCTATTAAACTACATTGGTGCCTGCATGTAAAACAATTGACTATGGATCTGTCTGAATTTTATACTGTTTTATAGATATATATGCTTATCTCTTTGGTAAGTGTATGCACACACACATACACACACACGTATACATATATATATCAGATGGGGATATTCAGAGGTAAAATGGCATCATTGAATTCAGTTTAGATAGAAGTAGAATAGTAAAGCCATAAATAAATAAACATGACTGAGGAGAGGGCAGCTAAGAGCAAGACATAAGCTCTGTTTTTAAATGAAACAGAAATTAAACCAAAGGTAGATAGAAACGATACCGAAAATGGAGAGCTATAATGAAAACAAGAATCATAAACTCAATTTTACACACTGTACTTATGTTAGGAGTTATAAGGAGGGGATCTGTCAAAATAAACCTTCTTGATGTAGATAAAAATGACAGTTGCAAAAGGAACTTTTTAATTCAGATAAATTTCTATGCATATTGATAACTTGTCTTATGGATTCTGACCAGCAGGGTCCTATTACCACCAAGGGGTGAGGCAATGGCGTTCCTCTGCAAGAACCACCAGAGGCAGTGTGGTCCAGCATGTCTGTTTATTGCAAAGCATGCATACTCCTTTATACTCCAAGAAAAGGGGAAGCTAAAGAGGTATCTCCTGAAGACCCCCCCCCCAACCAACAACAGCACTGCAAAAGGATGGAAGGCTGGTCTCTCTGGTCTCTCCAATCTGGCTGTACGTCACATGCATCACGTATGGCTGGCAGGTACTGTGCAATTTATGTACACCATGTATGGCTCGCAGGTAACATGAGACTGCACTGACTTTTCAGAATTTCTTATCAAGGAAGTCCCAGCACAGCTCATCCAAGGACAGAGAAGGAAAGCTGGGGCACAGCCCACTACTCTTGCCTGTATGGCTAGTAATCAGTCAGGTTGAGGTTTCAGTGTGCCAGGATCATTGCCAGGTGTCCCCACATAGACCAAGCAGGCTGATATCCAGAGCTGATCTTCCAAACTTGGAGTATACTTTATATAATAAATTCTTGGTGCTTTGAATATCAATAATTTGCAGTAAATTCATGGTCACTTTATGCCCTTTCTTCCCCTTGACATGGTGTTTTCTGAGTTGAGCAACAGAAATAGTATTGCTCCCGCTTTCATATGACTTTTTAATTTGAAAATATTAAGTGTTCCGCAAGTCCCAGGCCAGGTCCATCTCCATGCTCAGAGCCCTGATTCCAGCCACTGCAAACACACAGTGAGCTGTCGCTGGAATTGCCTGAGCTCCAGAGGCTGCTCCCTTCCTGGTAAGTACACTGAGAGGGGGAATCTGGAGAACAGGGTGGGTCTGCGCCCCATCCACTGCCAACATCATGTGGTGGATGGGATTGGGAAGGGGTGACCTTAGAGTCTGAGGGGTAACTTCCAGCAGCCTCTTGGTTGCTGGCAGGTCCCAGGCCAGGCCTGTCTCCATGCTTAGAGCTCCGATTCCAGCCCACGGGAACATGTGGTAAGCTGTCTCAGGGCAGCCAGTATATCATTTCGTACCAGGCCATGCCTGTTGGCCAACTGGTGGTGAGCTCAGGGGTTTTGGGGGCTATGAGTAGCTGCTCAGGTACCTCCATGTTGAGCCCATTGTGCTTCTGGATTGTGAGTCAATCCTGAAGATTCCCAATAACAGAGTAACTTTTGCTTTGAAGGTGAGCAAGGCTACTGAGACCTGGTAGATTGGAGGAGAGGGACCAGATGATCTTTATGGGTCAGACTGATATACCAGCCTCCTTTGAGTCATGCGTAGACCTTGTTGTCACAGAACAATACTGACCACCGTACACCAGTCCATGCAAAAGCTAAGGTTGGGAGCTTGTCTGGCAGGACCAGATCCTAGTACGTGACAGAATGATGGATGAGGAGATGGGTCACATTAAGCAGGACCATGACATTGGCTAGCACACAAGAGAACCATTTCCGGGGATAGATTCTGTGGGTGATTTGTGGATCACAAACCCTGTAAAAATATTAGTCCCACTGGTTTGCTCAAGATTTGGGGTGGTGATGGACTAAGCTCAGTGTGACCAAGGAGCCAGCCATCAATCACGGGTAAAAGAACCAACAGTAGTCTGGGCTGGTCAAGGCAGCAGCACCCAAGTGTGCATCCTAAATAGGGTGTGGAGTGGGCCAGGCTGCAACATTCACCAGTTCATACGAGGCCAAATGGAAGGCCAAACTATACTGGACACTGGCCTAACATCCACTGGTATGTATGATATCTGGGTCTGGGAGTGGGTCAAGTGAAGGAACTAATGTGTAGGTTGGTTATTAAACAGGGTAGGCCAGGAAGGACCAAGCAAATCTTAGCTCATAAGCAAAAATAGAAATCAGGACGGAGCACAGGTAGTGCTGAGCTAGGCTCTTACACCCAGTGGTCTGCATGAACCAGGTACACTAAGCCAAGCATCTAAGGCAAAGGCCAAGACAGGTGAAGGGGATTCCAAGCTGAGTCAGGGCAACCACTGGCATGCATGCAATCTAAAACTGGGAATGGTCCTGGTTGGAGAGCTAAAGGGACACCCTAGCTGGGTTGGGGTTCCCACCAAAGGGAGTGGGGGCTGTGTTCTCATCTGGATATAGCTGCAGTCTCTCTTGGCACAAGTATGGACTGGGTTTGAAAGCACCAATTCGGGCTAGACTCCAGCACCATCTGGTGCTCTGGAGGGCCAGGGTAGATGTGGATGGACAAGGCTAGGTCTCTGCCCCATACTAAGCCATGTGTGAGCTGTGTTGGGGTATGGACGAGCCTTGGCTAGGCTGAAACATCCAACAGTAAGTACCAGATTGGGTTGAAGGCCAGTCAGGAAAGGCCACTGTTTCTACTAGGACAGGAAGTGGACTGAGTAGGGCTCCCTCATGGACCCACCGATCTGCATGAAATTTGGAATTGGAAGAGGTTCTGATGGAGGAGCCTGGGCAACTCCTCTGGCAGGACACAGTCCCTGCAGGTAAGCACAAGAAGCATGGAGGGAAACAGCCCAGAAGAGGTCATGGAAAGTGTCCCACTGGCATACATTTGGCATGGGTCGGGGGGCAGACCAGGCTGAACCAGTTCACATCACCCATTGGCAAATCCGAGCACCAGAATAGGGTGTGGGTTGGGCCAGGTTCGGTCGTGACACAAACCAGTGCACATTACAGAATGCCAAGGTGAGGTGAGCTATACCAGATGTGGCCACAGTACCCAAACAGTACATGTGGGAATGAGGGAAGGAGGAAGCAAGGGGGAATGTGGGCTCCCCTGCCGGTCAAACACTCCCACTGCAGAGCGTGAGTTAGGATGGGGGCAGAGCAGACCAGGCAGGGCCACCACACCTGTGGGCCTCATGGGTGCTAGATCAAAGAAAACCCAGGATGGACTGTTCCTACTGATGCAAGCAAAAATTAGAGTGAGTCAGGGTTGGTTGGGCTTTGCCACAGAGTCAGCTAGCAGAGGCTGGCACTAAGGCTGAATCTGTAAAGTTGAACTCCAGAACCTGGAGAGTATATGACCCAGGAGTGGGAGTGGCCTAGAAGGGAAATAGTGGGCACCTCCCTCTCCAGTTACTACCCCCATTGGATAGCACAAAACCAGGACAGAGGCAGAGGTGGCTAGACAGAAAGGCACCCACCAGCATTTGTGGGCTAGATAGTGAACCTGATTAGCTTGAACTAGGCTTCAGTGTCCATTGAAATGTATGAGAGCTGAATGGGATGTGGAACAGACTGAACTAGTCTGCTGTACATACTGGCAAGCATGGGACCCAGGACAGGGGTCAGGCCTGGTGGGGGTTATTGTGGGTCACTCGAACTAGGCTGCAGCTCCAACTGATTTATGTGGAGGGCCCAGTGCGTGCTTGGCAGAATCAGGCTGGACTGCAACACCCATTGGTTCCAGTAGAAGTCAGGACTGGAAACAGAACCGACCAGCAAGTGCAACCACCAACTAATTGTGATGATAGACTGTACCGGGCCCTGTACTTGCAAGTACACATCTCAGGCAAAGTCTCTTTTGGGATCTCTCCAATCGACCTGATGGACTCAGAACCCTAACCATGAAGAGAAGTGTAGGTTCCATGGTCTTCCAAGGAGTGCAGGTGCCAGAGCTGAGCCTCCTGAGAGGCTCAGATGGAGCAGTGGAGAGCATAACCAGGTGCACATGGAGGATATGGCAGTCTATCGGAACCTGTAGAGGATACCTGGCACTACAACAGAGGACAGAACAAATCAATCAACTACCCCAGCAATTTGTTGGCAGTGAAAAACTGGGCAAATGGAGACTCTAAGGTGGACTATGTCAATCAGTGGATTCTGCAATGACCTCATCGTGCTTGGAATAGTGAGATTGGCAGCTTCTCTCTTTATCTCCCCCTTTACCCCAGATAAGGAAAAATAAATGTGGAAATAATAGTCTTACCCACTTTTCTGTAGCCCTTGAACCTTTGTGCTCTAACTAACTATGTATAGATTGCCAAAAATAAAGAAAAAGAAAAGTCATGGGCTTGGGAGCTAGAAAAAAATATTAAGTGTTCACCCTGTCAGTCTGTTTTATTTTATTTTTCTTTGTATGTTTATGGGGCAATAAGGGGAAAAATGAGAAGAAGAAAAAAACAAGGAAAAACAAAGGAAAGAAAGGAAAGATTGGGCATTGAATAAACCTGGTTTCTGTTGCTTAAATCAAAATATAAGTCTTTAATCATAGAATATGGCTGTAATATATGGTTAAAAATAAAAGCAAGGTGCTTCATGATAAAGTGAATAGGTGTCCAGAATGTTAGATGTAATAAAATTACAAGCACTCACCTGTGTTGTGTTGGGAATGTGATGAGTACAATGGCGTGGCTGTAGAAAGGGTGAATCAAATGCTTAAAGGTGTCATTATTATTAAAATAACAAAGCAGGGAAAGAGATAGCAAAGATAAACTTGGACTCTATTTGCTAAATAATCAGAAGAAGAGCAAAACCAAAGTAAAAGCTGGGTAGCAGTAGAAAGCATCTGTAATATCTGTTTACCTACTTTTTCTAGAGAAATTTTCAGAAGAAAAAAGTGAGAATGTTTTGAAGAAGGTAGAGATTAATAGAACTGAAGGTTCACATTAGAATACAATAGGTTTGAACCAAATTTAATATCAGTGAGGTATTTTAAGAGGAAGGCTCAAATTTTTCAAACAGGTAATTTAAGTATAATTCAAACAGAGTTATGGAATATGTCCAAAGAGCAAAAGAAATTTTTAAATTATAGTAACAACAACAAACGGAAAGGAAATAAACAGTAGCAAGATCCCATGTCTCGGGTAGGGTTAAAAAAACAGATTTAAGGTACGTAAGTAGATAAAATATTGTAAAAGAACAAAGACATTAATCATGGAAGGTGATAATTACACTGATGCCAGAAAAGCTGACAATAAGAGGATTCTTTCTGGAAGGTTGTACAAACAGAAAATTGGATGGATAATGTACAGAAAACATATCTGCATGTATCTTGAAGTAAATTTCAGAGATGTTGGTAGAATTGCTAAATATAATTTGTTCTAAAAAGAATCAATAAGAAAATGAGAAAGCAAAAATACAATAATGTATAGTGATTAAAAACCAAGAAAGTTTTATGCAGCAAAATATAGAATATTTTTTATTCAATAGATTTAATGAACACATGTTGTAGCTAAGCACAGAATTTGGAAGACTAACAAATTCAGATAATGT